GTAAAACTATTAAAGAATGAAGTTCTCCATATATGTATGTACTCATCCTCAGTTCCTTAGTTGGTTAGTACGGCTGGAAGGAATAAGGTATTACATAAAAATAGGAATGTGTGTACCTATATATGAACCAAGCATTATTAACAAATCGGCCAGACGGACTATGTATGCTACGAAGGTATAAATAGCCCTTATCTCAATCCGTCCACAATACTTGCACTGCAAATAATCTGGTAACAAAATAGTCGCTATGTTTTTTTTCTTGTAAAAGCTTCCAACAAATTTAAATCAATTTTAAATCGATATTAAACAAACTATTGATAGATATTTCTTCTAAGGAGTTTTTGTAGGGTGAGATAAAAAAATATATCCGACAGCGAATAAAGTATTCCAGAATAAAAGAAATTAACATTTATAGTAGTTTTCAGGAAAAATGCAAATTTTAGTTTTGTTGAGATTGTTACATGAAAAATGCTACAATGAATGAAAACGTCCAAGAAATTTAATCAAATTTTCAGATGGAATTTGTAGGTGAATAATTTTACCCTTAGAATTTTGTCACCGGAATTATTTAGAGTGTATGTACTACTTTGTATTTACTACATATAATGTTCAAGGTCTTCAAGGCCTGAGCAGGAAAAGGGTACTAATAATCTTGAGGTTAAGGTAGGCTCGCTGGACGAAATAATTTTTCTTGCATCTTCAAAGTCAAGGTCTCCTCTTCACCCTTTGACTGTGCATACGTTCGTACTTGACGGAGAAGAAGAAGCAGAGGATAGATTTTTTTTCTTCCTGGAGAAGAAGAATTTCATTCCATTTTTATCTCTTCATCTGCCTCTCACGTGGAAGGAACAGGTTTTCCATGCCATGGAAAAGTTTTCATGGTCGGACAGTGTAAATAGAGTTTCATTCTGGAAAGTGAAATCACGACTGGCAGAGCACTGAGCAGAAGTGATTATCACGTCGATTTTAATAATTATGAGGAAGGCGAACTTTATTTTCGAGATGGATGGATGAAAAGGTGAAGTTTGAATTTTTAAAAATGAGAATATTATATTTTTGCTTAATTTGTACAAAATAATGTTTGTTTTGCTATATTGATAAATTTGAAAACCTTCATACTTTTCATATTTTACTTGTGTTTCGTACATACATAATTTTGATATCCAGCTTTCCACGAGAAAGTGGTTCGAAAGGTGTGAAAATTTGTTACCAACCAACCTCACGTTTAAAGCATATCGCATTATTTTTGTACATACGCAGTTTCGCCATGAAAATAAAAAACCCCGGTGAATCATAGGTTTTACCCGAAAATCGGGGAGAAAATGGTCACGAACTTTGGGAAATTCCGGCCAGTTCTTCTCCAGTACTCACTTAAAGTGACCGCAGAAGCGTGGGGACAGAGGGGCAATGTTCCCACGGTTATTCCACCATCTGCCCATGTTATATAAACCCTATCCTACAATGTTAATGTCCCCACGGCTTCCGCGGCCACTGCTCACTGGAGGATGACGCATCGGAATACTTTATTTGTAATGGCACCAGTGTAGTCGGCTTATTACCATCGGCTACCCGGGTTTTATTTGTGATCATGCTAAATAAAATTTCTCCAGGGATTTGATCCATGGACAAATAAACGGGAGAGAAGAGAGAATCTTTGTCCATTTGGATTGGATTTTCACCAGCTCGACGTACGTGCGTACATGCACATTTTATGAGATTTTGTTTTCTCCACGTTTTCACCAGTGAGTGAGTGAGTGAGTCAGATCAAATCAAAAATTGGGGATGTAAAACCAATTGAAAATTTAAATTGAAAAATTGTCCTATGGAATTTCCAGAAATGAGGTAATTTTGCAATTTTTGAGATTTACGATCTTCGAATATTTCAATATAATAATAATTCAAAAATTATTTAACAAACTGTTAAACTTTCACAATTAAATCGGTGTCAAATGTTTATTCCTCTGTATTTGCGCAATCGAAAGTTAGGGTGTTACGACTTATGGAAAAATTGTGGCGATATAAATTTTATGAGGGCAATTTTCAAAAATGAAGTTCAAATTTGTACTAAATTTTAATCTGAAGTTTCAAATTACTTACCACCAGCCAGCACTTTTTCCAACCATCCAGGCATTCATATTAACTGAGCTAATTACCGTCTAAAAATTTCATACTTCTCCAAGAAGACAACTGTCACTTGAGAGAAATGAAATTGATGATGGAGCGAAAGCCACGCTGTCGGCCACATGTTGTCCAAAAAGAAAAAGACTGGTATTATTATATAGTTTGGTATTATTGACAGCACGGCCCTTACATATTTTTCCAAGTGAGAATAAATTCTGACTCAAAATTTCTGAGTATGTAGAGTTGTACAATGCACAGGGTTCACATATTCTCGACATTTTGGGCGTCAAGATAAATGTTTTGGGCATGCCATTTATTCCCTGGACATTTATTGAGTTATAAAATTCTCTGAATTTTGGGCATGAAAATAAATTCGTGGCGTTTTGGGCATGGCATTTATTCCCAGGCTATTTATTTAGTACGTGTAACATAAATACATACAAATTTAAATTCTGGTCAAATAAGCTATGCCATAAATATCTAAATTCCCTAGCACAAGTACAAATCTAATTCTGACGGAAATTCTGCCTCTCTGATAATGATGAACAGTTTGGAAGAAGAAAACGGCTGCATATTTGTATTTTCCAAGTCTCTACTTTTACACATGTACATACATAAATACGAGTATTGTAATACACAGATGCACAACTGTGTCCTGTATTAAAATGCGTACATAAGTACATATTTTTCATGGGCCTTCAAGGGAATTTTGTAGCCAGAAAGGAACGACGACTGGAAATTTTTAGCCAGGCCACATCCTCGCAATAAATAATGGCTCTTACACGTTTCCAGTATTATTACAGCGTGCGTATGGCATGGCAGAGGAGTTGGCGTTTAAAGGAAGGAAGTGAAGAAGGACAGGTGTGATTCCGGCTGCGGCGAGTTTTACAAATATTTCTTACTGGACAAAATTCACACTCGCCATTGTGCAACAAGAAATATTTATAAAACTCGACTTTTCTAAATAGATTGGAAAATAGGTTGTTCCACCACTTCCACCTTTTATTATTACTTTGAATTTCATATTTCTCCAAAATATCACTATTGGCGTTGAGACTGGTTAGAAAATAATTTGCAGAATTTATATTTTTATCGAGTTATGTATTATTGCAAAGTTTCAAAATTTCTCAAAATGTAGTTCGGAATTTTTGCGAGATTAATATGCAATTGCATTTTACAAATTTTTTCCCAAATAGAATAATGCGATTGATATTTTCAAAATTTCCTAGAAACTAATTCATGAAATTGTCGGGCACTTATCTTCATTCGCCAACATTTACTGGCAATAGTGTATGATTCTGTAATTTTTACGGCCCATTTCAGTCAATCGGCTGCGATATCTTTTAAATAAAACAATTGCATACTTCAGAAACAATTAAAATTGTCGTTGAGATCTGACAGTTGAAAAATTTTCATTTTGAAAATAATTTTGAAAAACTTGTAATACTTTTTCTCCCCTGAAAATAAAATAGACTTATTGTTGAACAAAACTTTAAAATTGAGCCGTTTCGCTGAACATGTTTGGTATGAATGAAGGGACAGCTGCAGGGCGTGTGTGCGGGTTAGGCTGAAATGAGGATAAGCAGCATTTGTTCAGGATTTTCGTGCCTTTTGAGACTTGAGACTTCTCTTGTTAATTTTAGTCACTGGATGGATTGATTGGTTTTTGGGATTGGATATTTTGAAACTTTAAAGTGATGATGAATGATGCTATTTTTATAAGGGAACCAGTTTTTTGTGTCGTAGGTCGTGGCTGCAAAATGAGTGCTACCACCGGAAAATATTACTGTTACAAATTTTGTAACATAGTTAAAATAAAACTATGATACTTTTAAAAATTAAGAAAAAGTCGTATTTTGAAATGAGTTGTCAGTTAAATTAAAAGTTTTTCTAAATTAGAGATAAGCATTTGTTATATGTTATGTGCACATTTTCATGTTCTTTTTTTATTAATTTTAGTCCATGCATTGAACCAGATTGGTCTCTGAAATTGTTTTTTTTTGAAAGCTTAAAGTGATGAATAATGCTATTTTTATTAAAAATGGAAGTGTATAGAGGATGGGCACCTGAAATTATTCCTGCTAATATTATTACACAGTTGCTATTCAATTATGGACTTTGCAACAGTACAAAAATAGAATAAAAGTCTATTTTGAAGCGAGTAGTCACTTAAAAGTTTGGTTAAATGAAGATAAGCATTTTCATCTCTTTTTTTTTGTTATTTTTTTGGTTTTTGGGATTGGGTATTTTGAAACTTTAAAGTGATGAAGGATACATTTTATCCTTTGGTAGGTCATGGTTGACTAAAAAAATATATGCTCAATCCTTGTTGTCTGGAAATATTGATTTACACATTGTGTGCAAAGTTTTAAAAATTCATGGACTTTGAAACATTTCAAAAATAGAATGAAAGTCTTATTTTGAAGCGAGCTGTCACTTAAAACTTTTGTAACTTGAGACATTTTCTAAGCCGTTGTAACAGTTTAAAATTGAAGGAACAACTGCATCGTCTGGTTTTCGGTGTATATAGATTTTCCCTAAGCTTTTTGTCATTTGGAATTTATGTATGTAAAAGAAAATCTGGATTTGGAAATTTTTATGGTGAAATTTTTTTGTATAATTTTTTTATAAAATGGAGACGGGGAATTTTGAAAAAAATGCATTGTTTTTGAGAAATTTTCAGCGACACACTATTTATTTTTCATCATTTTCTTCCCTGAAGTTAAAAAATATTTGGAAAATTGAGACGTCGAATTTTGAAAACTATGCATTCGTTTTGCGAAACTTTGAGCGAAAAATCTCCGTAATTTTTTACCTCAGTTCAAAAATATGTGAAAAATTTGGATTTTTTGAGAATCGTTGCCTTGTTTGATTGACAGGTTGGTGGAGGGATGCGCCCCCATCCTTTGTGAGGTGGTCCAGCATGAGTGAGCAAGGCGGTGGGGCACTATCACCCCACAACCACCACCACGCCAACTACACCAACAACGCCTTCGCCTCCAAAGTGAACGGTGGGGGCGGCGGGGGTGTGACCACTGGCAGCAGCTCCTCCAGTACCGGCGGCGGTGGGGGAGGTGACATCCATCTCACCGAACTCTCCTCGTCCACGGCGCCCAACGGGCATCACACGACGCACTTGACGCTTCTCAAATCCGCTCCAGCGTCCAGTTCGCCAACCTCGAATAACTCTAACTCCTCCGGCCTTCCTTCCCTCTTCACCTTTGGCGAGGGTGAGGGGCTTGGTGAGAAAAGGATTTTTTTGGACAAGTTTTTTAAAGAGAATATGATGATTTTTAATGTTTTTTGACAGATTTGTAAAAAAAGTGTTGATTTTATTATAAGTTTTGGCTGACTTTACAGGATTTATTGACGAATTTGAAAATTTTTGGGAGAGTTTTAGTTCGATTGTTAGCAAATTTTTTACAACAATTTGATAATTTACGAATATTTTTTATGAAAATGCAAAAATTTAGGTTCATTTTAAATCTTAATTATTTGAATTTTTACAAGATTTTCGACGCACTTGAAAATTTTAGGGAGTCCCTTTAGCCCCATTATTATCAAATTTTTTATCATTCTTCAAAAATATCCCCTCATTCCACCCCTTTCTAATTTCACCCCCCTATTTTCTCCAGGGTCCCGCTTATCCGACGCCTTTTCCGAAATCCGTTACGCCGAGTTGACCCACTGGGACTTGAACTTATCGACATATCCGGGCGAAATAATCGGAGGTGGAGGTCCCTCCCTCACCGCCCGACTTATCGACTCCCGCTCCCTCGACTCCACGGACCCTTACCGCCCCTGGGAAAAACCCGACCAAACCTCCTCCTCCACCACGACCCACCAGTCACCCACTTCCTCCACGTCGGCATCCACCGTCCCCCCCTCGTCGACTCACCCCGCCCCCTCCGCCACCCCGGAGAACGGAATCTCCTCCACCAACAACAACTCCTCCCCGTCCGACAAAAGCCCCACGACCTTGACCCCGCTGACCAACGTGTTCCCCGCGTTTGGCGACTCCTTTTCCTCCCAAAAGCTCACCCTGCCCTCGTTCCAGTCACAATTTAACCCCTTCCTCGACCCCCCAACGACCACGAGCACGATGCTGCTCTCCGACTCTTCCTCGACCCCGACGACCACCGCGACATCCTCGTTGCCGTCTTTCCACACCCTCCCGGCCAACCGAGCCCCCACGGGAAACGGGCATCACACCCTCCTCTACCAGCACCACCAAGGGAATCCAGTCCCCCACCAGTTTTTAGATGATGGGCGGGGCGGTCACATTCAGATCTTTTCCCCGGGACAGGTCCAATTTGGTCAGCTTATTTCGGCTCCTCCCCAGCAGCAGCACCCGCACCAACAGCAGCAGCAGCAAGCCCTACAATCTCCGCATCATAATCCGATGGTGAATGGGGGTGGTGGGGGACCGACGAATGGGCACGGACATCACCAGCAGCAGCAGCAACAGATACAGATTCAGCAACAGCAGCAACATCACTTTGCCCCGAATGGTGGGGGAGGGGGTGGAGGAAACGTGACGTTTTCGACGCTCCAGCCGCATCAGCATCATCACCTTCAGCACCATCAGGGAGGCACGATTCAGCTCCAAGAGTTGGTCGGGGTGCCGCACTTGTTGCATATTACGAATGGGAAGGGGGGACATAATGGGGGAACGACGGATGGGCTCATTTTGCATCAGCATCATGGCGGACATGAAGGGCAGCAGCATCACGGAGGACCCCCACCACCCCCGCCGCATATCAATATCAACATGCCAAAGTATCTGCATGGCGCGGGGATTTTGCCGGGTGAGGAAATTTTAGAATTAATTTACGCGATGTGGTTAGTACTTTATTTGCATAGCACGTGGTCAATAATTAATTTGCAAAACACGTGGTAGTTAATTTGCATGATAGTCTCGTGGTCAGAAACTATTTTGCATAGATGATAGTCACATGGTCAATAATTAATCTGCACACTCAGGTAACGAGCACCTCCACCCGATCGAAACCCACCTTATCGCCGTGAACCCGAACATGCTTCACAACCACGGCTCTGGTCAGCTCCACCTGCACCAAGGCGGTCACCAGCTCAACCTCAACAATGGCCACGTCGTGGGTGGTCAACAACACAGCCCGCTCGTCAAACTGGAGCAGAACCAGTGTTCCCCGGGCACGAATAATAATGGGAATGGCGTCATGCTAAATGGTATCAAAATTTTTCCTAACTTGCGCCATAATCAGCACATTTTTGATCATTTCTCGACTCTAGAAATTTATTTTAAAATTCTGGACGAAGAATTTCTAGAGCAGGTCGTTGCCAAATTTTTAAAAATGTACACTCCAGATTTTGACAGTTTTTGATCTCAAGTATTCAGTTACTACTCGCTTCAAAATAGACTTTTATTCTATTTTTGCAATGTTTCAAAGTCCATAATTTTATAACAACGTGGTAACATTATTGCTAGTAATAATATCAGGTCAGCATTCCTTGCATACATGTTCAAAAAATATTTATTCATTCAAGGTTCATTCATTCAAAGCCTTGAAAAAAATATTCATTCCTTATTCACTCATTCATAAGTTGTAATAAAATATTCATTAATTATTCAGCATTTATTCATTATTCACCATTCCTTCATTATTCATTTTATTCAAAATTCACAGCATTAGATGAATTTCTCAACTTTCCCTATGTATTAAGCATTGAGCAAAAAACGAATGATGAAAAAATACTCATTCATTATTCATTCACACGAATTTAATAGATATTCATTCAATATTCATTTGTTAAAAAGCCAGAATAAAATATTCATTTAATATTCATTCAATTTTTGAAAATTGAACGAATAATTTATTCATTCATCATTAAATGAATGAATGTGAACATGTATGATTCCTTGTCGTCTTATTAAAATAGCATCCTTCATCACTTTAAAGTTTCGAAATACCCACCAATCTAAAAATCAGTCTGGACCACAAGTAACAAAAAAGCATGAAAATGTGCACATATATGAAACAAATACTTATCTCCAATTTAACAAAATTTTTAATATAACCGATAATCGTTTCAAAATATATGACTTTTATGTAAATTTTTCAAAATACAGAGTTTTATGTCAAAAGAGTAATATTTTCAGGTAGCATTGTCACAAATTTTTTAAAATGTACACTCCAGATTTTGACAGTTTTTGATCTCAAGTTTAAAAAGCATTCAGAAACTTGGAACTCATCGAAACTGGCTTAAAAGACTCCCTGTCATTCGATTTCAAATTTGTCGTCCAGAATTTTAGAATAAATTCCCAGAGCTGAGAAATGATTAAAACGCCCTAATTTTGACGATTTTAATGATAACCATCGCCTCCTACGTTAAACCTAGCATAAATCCCCACAGTAAAAAATTAAATTTCTTACCTTCTTCTCCAGGCATTACAACCACCCCGAAACGTGTCGTGAACCGGAAGCGCAAAAACGGTGGACCTGCTTCTTCCTCCTCCGCGGGTGGGACGACGTCGTCCTCCTCCGCCCCCATGGAACACCAAGGGCTCAACATTATCCATCCGAACGACCACCTCGACCCTCAAGTCAGCTCAGTTTCTTCCACCGATTCGGACTACCACAATCCGCACAGGAGGCTGGGAAACCCGGGGAATGGGAACGGGGGGATGAACGGTGGTGGTGGCGGGATGAATGGAGGGGGCGGGCATCACAACCCGCACAATGGTGGTGGTGGTCTTCACGGGATGGGAGGCGGTGGTGGCGGCGGGATGGACATCGAGTCAGGTCTCGACAAGCCGGTCAAGAAGAAGAGGAAGCGTTGCGGAGAGTGCACGGGGTGTCAGAGGAAGGACAATTGTGGAGATTGTGCACCCTGCAGAAATGATAAGAGGTCAGTTGAGTGGGGGAAAATTTGAGAAGTTTAGGAAATTTTGATTTTCGAAAGCAAGTTTGAAATTTTTTAATGCAAAGTTTCTGAACTTTACGCCAATTTTTAAGTTTTTCATGAATTGCTCACTCAAGTTTCAAATTGTTGATGAATTTTACACACTGTTTCATCCAAATTTGCTCCTTTTCAGTCAACTTTTGCATAAAATTTTGTTAACTCAATTTGTAAAATTGTTGCCCTATTTAAACAATTTTTATCTAATACTTTGTCTAATTTTTAGCCACCAAATCTGTAAAATGCGGAGATGTGACAAACTCACGGAAAAGAAGGTAAGACATATTCCGTTACTCTAAATTTTTACGATTTTTGCAAAATCTGACCTGAATTTGCACCATGATTTTGACATCTGTGGGATAAAAATCCACTACAAACAAAAACAACAACAACAACTTTACGAGGGGGCTTTACACCTTTGCGTCGCCTATACGCGTTTCACCCTCGTTCGTTCGCTATTTGGCAGTATGGAAGCCATAAAAAGTCTGCAAGTCTGCTCCCCCGTCTAGCCTCGTCGTAGATTTGGATTAGTCTTGAAAGTGTACGGTACACAGTCTGCGATGCAATATAGGACACAAACAAACCATTAAAAACAAAATGCCAATTGCGGATATGAAATGGAAATGAAATTCATACGTATGAAACGGTTCAGTTTATGCGAATTTTTCTGCGAGGGTTGCGTCCAAATCTCGTCCCGTTTTCGCACAACAAAGAACTTCAAGTGGTTGCATGAAACAGAAAATAAACCAATTATGTTCAACAGCTTTCATGTTACGTTTAAAAAAAAACATCCTGTCCCAGCTCCACCACCACCACTTCCAATCAAAATTGCATCCCTTCCTTTCCCATTATTACATACAAAAATTCAAGGTCTACGTAGTAAAAAATGTACAAAAATGGGACAAGCTACCGTATCTCCGGTAAAAAATGTTTGTCCGGTAAAAATTTCGTGTCAATAATTAATATGCTGGGAGAGAGAAAGCAGAAATTTTGCATGTTTTAAAAAGATCCAAATTTACTGTTCCACTCCTTAAACTGTTATTAAAAATCAGATTTTAAATATTCAAATTTCATGAAAATGCGTTCTTTTCATGAAATTCTGCATATTTAAAAATATCCAAATCTATTATTACACCACACCTGAAACTGCATTATTATTTTATTATAACACAAAGTACAAAAATTTGTTTAGTTTCCTGAAAGTATATTTTTTACTGAAATTTTGCATATTTAAAAATATCCCCATCTATTATTATTCCACTCGTTCCTACCAGAACTACGTCATTATTATCATGAAAATTACATACATATTCTTCTCCTCGATGAGAAGAGAATCTTGGCATGAATATGAATTTAATACGGGTTTCGAATCAGTCCTTTCTTTCTTTTGTGCCATATCGTGTAACAAGCATTCGCTACTATGCCACATGCATACATATATCCATCCTTCCATCGTCACGGGTTTAGTGCAGGCATCGTTTCGTAAATATATTTCTGAAAGAATGGACGGATTCACCATCATCATCGCGCACACAAAACGAAACGGAAAACACATCCATCCATAAATGAAACGGAGAGAATGTGAACATGAACATGACACGGTTCGCAGTGAAGGAAGGAAGCAAGGGCCAGATGGTCCCTTAAATCGTTCGTTGTGCTTAAAATAGACTTGCTCCTGCATTCAAGTAAGCATCCAGTCCAGGAAAATTGCAGGGTGTGTTTAGAAATGGAATAAAAATGCATCATTCATTCTTCTCTGTGTAGTTTGTTGTATGTAAAGATTAAGATTAATGTGGGTCCGGTTCGTTGAGCGTTTTGTTTATGGATTGGATTTCATACGTAGTACTGCTCCAGTTTTGGAAATTTTAAAAAATATAGTGGAACAAATGGTGGATGAATTTTAATTAATTAAGCACACTTTGATTAACATTTTGAGAATTTGAAAAGTTTGATGAACATTTTGAAAATTTGATTTTTACTGGGTTAAATTTCCATGTGTAATCTTTACACACATTTGTTGTGTGTAAAGATTAAGATTAAAGTGGGTCCGGCTCATTGAGCGTTGAGCGTATTTTGTTTATGGATTGGATTTCATAGTAATGCTCCAGTTTTGAAAATTTGTAAAAAAAATTGTAATAGGTGGCGAATAGATTTGGTTAATTTATCTCACTGAAAAGTTTTCAGTGAAAACTTTTACGAGGATTTTGAAAATTAGATTTTTACTACATTCAATTTCCATCTGTTAGAACACCGTTTTGTGCAAAATTTCTCATAATTTCGTCAACGTCGTGCTGGTCTTGCTAAAACGAGAAATATGCACTGCTATGAAGCAGTAAGTGTAAATCGGTATGAATTTCCTATCCGGAAATATATAATTTTCTAAATGTTTACAATTTTACGGAAAAGTCTATAATACTTCGGGACTTGGATTGTTTAAAATCTATGCATATAACTTTCTAAATATAAAATGTTGTCAACAATTTTGCTAACGTCGTTGAATAAAGGAGACAAAATAGATAAATTTCATAGCAGTGACAAATTGGGAGTAGTCCATCTGGAAATCTGAATTTTTGTAATTTCACATCAGTCAGAACTTATCTATGAATATAAATTTTTTAGTATAAACTTTTTCATAAATTCGTTAAAGTCGTGTAGGCCTTGCTAAAACGCAAAAAATATGAATATCATCAATAAGTGCGAATCTTGACTAATTTGGATTAATTAATTACATAGTCAACCTGGAAATCTAGATACGTGTACACATAATTTTCTTAATACATCAAAAAACTTGTCGTATCTCCAAGTACAATTTTGTAATACAAACTTTTTCATAACTTCGTTAAAGTCGTGTCCGCCTTGCTAAAAATGTGTAAAAAAAGGATACGAATTTCATAACCGTGTGTGCGAATCCTTGTCCTTGGACAGGTACTCACGCGTCTCGTAGTGTGGGCAGCAGCAGAAGGCTTGTGTAACTAACAGAGAGAGTTTTGTACCTTATTTTTATTACATATTTCACCCATAAAAAACGGGTACCCTTTCAATATCGAGGATATACTGATACATGTACAGGCGAAGATCCTGCTCAGGATCAGTGAGCAGACTGGTTGCTTATTGTGCCATATTTCGTATGAGGTCGACTTTTGTTGGGCAGTAGTGACTTGAATATTATGCTGGATTTAGTTATACTTGTCTCTCAGGTAGTTAGTACATAATAACATCGCACAAGGGAGGTTTCCCAGCGGATGCTCCCCCATTTTTGAGCAAATTAGTGACAATCGATCGCAAATTTAATTAGTATGAAATTTGGAAATGACACGATCTCCCAATGGCCACGTTTGGCAGATATACTTGCACCCGAAGAGGAGAAAACGCAGTAATTTTGACAAATTTTTCACTTTACAAATGTCTTTTTATTTTTACGTTCTTCACGTTTACTTCGAGATCTCCATTGTAACTTACAATTTGTAAGTTACACACCAATCAATTTATGTATTTGCAAGATTTTGGCATAACAGATTAATGGCTTCAATACCAAAATTTGCAAACATTTTATTTAATTTTATATGTTTATTAGCTAGACGCCAATTAGTTTTGTTGAGAGAGTTTAGATTATTAAGTGGCCTTAACAGGTAGCGACATTGTTGTGCCAATTCATAGCCTTCCGTACCCTTTGCAATTGTAATATTAATTAAATTTGAGATCGATTGGCACTAATTTGATCAAAATCGGAGAGCATACGCTCATACACCTCCATTTCAAGTCAGTGGGAAATGGTGGTCTTGATAAGGCTATTTTTTGCGGAGGCCAATAAAGATCATGTTTTCGCGTGGAGATATTATATGCAGCCAGGCTGGTAGCATTTTTTTTGCACGGAATTCGCAACAAGCTAGTCCACATATTTTTGCCAAACTTTGGGTACTTCAATTAACCAAAATTTCTCCAACATTCCAGGAATTATTCATTTGCGATTATGCCTTGTTACACAAAGACAGGGCAAGTTTGTTACCTTGAACTCAACTTTTTGTTGTAGGCAATTTACTATTTATGTTACACCATATGCAGCCCTGGATTTTTGCCACTTTTACACATGTGCTGTGTATGTATGATACTAATTAAAAAAGCTATAACGACTGGATTCTCCTCTCATCCGGTTGATTTCATGACAATTCAGTTTTACTTTCCGTGGCGAAAATTGAAAAGGAAAAGTTTCCTCGGGACGAGACGACCAGGTGTTCAATTTAACGGTTAAAACTCGACTTTTTTTAAGCTTTGTGATGCACAATGCAAAATGGAAAACAAAATCATTTCCAGACTCACTTCCGGTCGTCGTTGTAATGTATGTAAGGATGTTTGTAGTTAGGATTAATTCTTGGTGTTTTTTTGCGAGAGGAAAAATGCATGCATGTTATTTTCTTTTTCGAGTTGGTTGAAAAAAATGGGAGCGTTTCCGTGATGAAATTTTGTTTTTTTTTGAGGGAAGGATAGGTTTTTATGGAAAAATTGTTTGGAGACAGAAATTACCACCAATTTATTGCTGGCATAATTTTTAGTTTTTTTAATGGAGAAAGTTTCCGTAATGAATTTTCGCTTTTTTTGGACAAATTTTTGGTGACATAGTTAACGTAGCTTCTGAGGAAAATGAATACTCTTCTTTTTTACGTTTTAATTTCTATTTTTGAACAAAATTGGAGCGTTTCTGAATTTCGTGAAAGGTTTTAAATAAGTTTTTTTCAGAGAAAACTATTTCGCGACCAATGGAACTGGAAATGCACGAGTTCTTATTTTAATAATTTTACGGATACATTTTAGTAACATAAATTAACGTCAAATAATTTCTGAGCAAAATGCATACTCTTCTTTTTGACAATGTAAGTTTTATACTTTTTAAAAATTAGGACCGTTTTCGCTTCCGAAATTCCGTGAAGGTTTTTCTTAGCTAAAACTATTTCGCGACATGAATTATCGCCGATTAATAATAACGTGTCGCAAATGAGTGCTTATTTATCCAGTCGGTCGGTGTGAAAAGTAATATTTTCCAGTGTGTAAGAGGAACATCTGGTGTCGTTCGCAAGCGAACAACAATTTGATGACATGGAGCGTTTTTTTCTGGTTAATTTTTCATTCGACGATTCCCTTTCAGCTGAGGAAGCATGTTTTTAGCCGAATGCGAGAGAGAAACGGACTGAAAAAATGAGATTATTTTATTTTATCCGAGACAGACGGCACGAGCCTAGATTTCCATTTAATGAACGGATTGAATTATGAATGAGAAGAA